CATCAGCACCGGCATCAGCACCGGCATCAGCACCGGCATCAGCACCGGCATCAGCACCGGCATCAGCACCGGCATCAGCACCGGCATCAGCACCGGCATCAGCGCTTACCTTGCTCTTGACCTCGATGACGGGCTCGGCGGATCGCGCCGGCGTGCGGTGGTGTTTGGCCATGCTGTCCGCACCGCCCCGCGCCGCCGCTCCCGCGGCCACGGGGGATTTTCACCGGCCATGACGTCACCGGCGGGCCGGCCGGGCGGCGCCGCGCCATTGGTCGAGGCGGGGCTCGGGGGCGGGGTCGGCGCGGCGCGGCGCGCGGCCGTGGAGCGAAAGGGAGCGCGCTGACAACGTCGCCATAGCAACGGGGGCGGGGGCGGGGCCGGGAGGGGGGACCCCCGCGGGCGGCGGGCAGCGTGGGGTCGCAGAGACGTCGATCGTGGAATGCTCCGAGCCGGGAGGGACCCGAGTGGGGCCACCCGTAAATCAGACCCTGAGACCGAGAGCGGCGTCCCTGCGCTCCCTGAGCTCCGGCAGCCCTGGGGAGCTGTTCTGCGCCCACCGCCCTGTGAGGCAGAACCGTTCTCTGACGCTGTCTGACCCTCCCTGATGCAGCTCCGGCCCTCAGTGCTTTGCCCAGGAGAGCGTGGCCAGGAGCTGCTGCAGAAGGACAGGGAGCAGAGGGAAGCTCTGGGTTTAACTCGGCGGGTTTGCTCACAGGGTAATTGAGTTAAGGTCAGACAGATAATCCTGCTGTCAGCGGGGTCAGCACTGACGCAGGCAATATTGACAGAGGGCTTTCAGAGCCCTTCACCTTGGTGTCTGGTGAACCGGGGTTCATTGCTCACGGGACACATGTGAGGCTTGGCTCCTGCTTTGCGTTGTGTCCACAGAGTCAGGGCCTTGAGCTGAGCAGCCCCAGGGCCACAGCCATGTCCCTACCCAGGGTCACCACTCTGGGGACAGCAGTGAGGGCTGCCCAAAGGCTCAGCAGCCCCAGGCCCTTCCAGCACTCACCCCACAGCTTCACCCCGTGCCCACCTGAGCACAGGTCACAGCCAGCCAGCAGCAGGCAAACAGCTTCAGCTGGGGACGTTCTCAAGGGCGGCCTCGGGTGCGGTGCTGGCTTTCTTCTGAGGGCCGTGGTCCTCGTTGGCCAGGTGGGGTCAGCTCAGGCCGCGGGAACAGCCCAGCTGCGGGCAAAGGGCGGGGAGGGGCCTCAGCGCAGGACCCTGCCCATGCCCCCTGCCGCGGTGGGGCCCGTCCCTCAGCCCGCAATCCCCGCACGGCAGCTCCGTGCCCGGTCCCCAGCACGCGGCCTGCAGCCAGAGCGGTGCAGAAGGACGGGGCCGTGTGCCTGGGCCTGAGGGCCGCTGCAGGGAAGCTGCGACCTGAGGGAGCCAGGCCCTGGAATGTGGGGCTGAAGAAACCACCGCAACGCGACGTCACCGCGACCGGCCCGGGGTTACCGGGTTACCATGGTGACGCGGCTCCGAGAGACCCTTCCTCGCTCCGCCCCCCGCCGCGCGGCACGCGAGGCTGCTTCCTATTGGCCCACGTGTCCGCCCCCTCTACCTTCGCAGCCAATCGCTTGCAGCCACCGCGGCGCTGCGGTCGGACGGGGCGGAAGTGGGCGGGGCGTGGAGGGCGGCTATATAACGGGTGGCGGCGGGGGGCACCTCCATACGCGCGCTATGGCGGAGGAGCCGTGGCTGTCCTTGCTGGTGCGCAGCCCCGCGCGGCGTCATCCTGACCTGCGGCTCCGCGCCGCGCCCGCCTGGAGCGTGCGGCGCCTGAAGGCCGAGCTGCGCCGCCGTGCCCCCGGGGCGCCGGTAAGGGCCGCGGAGCGGGGGGGGGGGGGGGTGCGGGCTGACGCAAGGCCCGGATGCGGTTGCGGCACCGCGAGACCTTGGGAGCTGGGGCTGCGCGGGGCCGGGATTCCGCGTGGGTCCCTTGGCGGCTCCGTTCGCTCGGAGGAGGTGATGATTTCTGTCTTTCCGTTTCTTCAAGGCTGAGGAGGACCAGAAGCTGATCTACTGTGGGAAGCTGCTGCTGGACCATCAGCTCCTGCACGAGTTCCTGCCCGGGGTAGGATCGCTGCCCCGTCCTGTACTGAAGCACTCCGGCACGGGGGAACTTCTCTAATGTGTCCGTGTGTCTCTCAGCAGGAGGAGCTGCACGCTCTGCACCTGGTCTACAACCAGAGGACTCCCATAGATGTGCCTGAGAGCAGCACGGAGGTATTTACGCTGAGTGGAGGCACCGCTTTCAGTGCTGGGGCTGTAGGTGCTCACCAGTGCTGCAGGTGTTTCCTGTTAACGCTGTGATGCTGTTGATGCTTAATGTGTGAGAATGTAGTTAAATTAAGCTCAGAAACTGCTGGCTTAACAGATGCCATCAAAATCTGCACTGACTGAAATATCCAAGTGTAAGGTGGTTGTAATGTGCTTCCTCAGGGAGCGCTGCTTTCTGTTCTGCTTAATAACATAGGGTCTGTCATACCCAGATGGAGGCTGCTGTGGTCAGTGGGGGCAGCTCTCCTTCTTTCAGTGGCTGTGTGTGGAAGAACAGATGTAGGTGAAGATGCGTTACCTGCCCTTTAATGACTCAGATGGCAGAGGGGAAGTGAAGGGCTGGTGTCATGAGTTATTGGTCCTAAATGCCACTGTCCAAACTTTCTTACTTCTGAGTGTATGTGCTGAAGTATGTAGAGGTGTTTATACTGCCTGGACTGAGCAATTTTAACTTTTCTGCCCGTGTTGCCAGATGTGAGTCACCCTCTGAATTCCGTGCAGCTGTTTCACCCCAGAGCAGCTCTTGAATTATGTCTGTGTGCCACAAAGGGGTGTGAAAGCACAGACTCACGGTAGCTGATAAGTTGGTTTGTCTTGAGCACAGATCCCTTAGTTCTTTTTCAAGTTGTACTTCTGTAACCAGGTAGGACCTGAATGGGAGTGAAAACATGAAATGTATGTAGTGCAGGGTGCTTTATGTACAACTTAAGGGCTCTAAAATAGAGATGGAGGTGCTTTGTAGCACAGGGTTAGGTGCAGTGTCAGTGTTGGGGCACCTGGGGGAGCCGAGTGCAGAACAAAGAGTGTGAGATGTGAAACGGTCCTCTAAAAGAACTGTGTGCAGTGTGGTGTAATTGTTTGCATGAGATTTGCATGGTGTTCTGAACAGTCCCTCAGGTAGCTGTGGTTGCTTCTAGGTTAAAGCTGCGCAGCCAGAGCTGATGACAGAAGCTAGACAAGAACCAGCTGCTGCTTCCTCAGATGGTGGAAGGCTGAGATGCTCTCCTGGTGGTCAGGCAGCAGCAGAAGCCGGTGCCAGGTAAGTCCACTAGTGAGGCCCTCATGGGGTAGGCCTGCTTGGGCAGTGTTGGATGCCAGCCCTCATATGTGCACTGAGGCATATGTGCAGTGGAGAATAGGCCGGGGGTGCTAAGGATGCATGAACTCCAGTTTATTTGCTGTAATAGCAAGTCTTGCTTTTATTCACTGGGAGGAGATGTTTTTAATACTCTGAAGGGAAGAGTTTTTGTGTCAGTGCAGGAAATAGTAGAAGCCATCTGATGTCCTGCAGTAAGTGGCTCTTGTGGCTTTTCTGGTTTTTAACAAATGCTTAAATTTTGCACAGGCCTGAAACACCTCAGCATGCTTTCCAAGCTGTGCCTCCAGGGTTTTCTATGTACACAACCTACAGCATGCTTCAGATGTCCTGGCTTCAACAGATCTATGCGAGGCAATACTACATGCAATAGTAAGTCTTCCTGAAGCTGCTAATGGAAAGTAGAAGCTAATAGAAGGAAATACAAGAAAGGACTGCTAGTTTTCTTATGGTGTGGTCAGAAGACTCAGTGCTCTGCTGCTGTGCCCTGCTTTTCTGCGGGAAATTTACTTCTGCTCTTATGTTAGCTCCTTACCATATTTTTTGACTGCTGAAAGTAGCCCACAGATGGGAAATTGGTCTTAGAGATAAAAGCAAGAACTGTAAGCAGCCTTACAGAACACCTTCAGGTTGAGCAGAATAACTTTTTGTGAAGGTATTGTTAACATGAAGGTGTGTGGTTTGACTTGGCAGTCATGAAAGCATTGTCTTAGGCAGAGCCAAAATTTGTTTTGAGCCCTTGTGAAGCACAACCCTTTCCTAAATTGTATGTGCTCTGACTTTGTGGTTCTGAACTTCTAAGGTGGACAAGTTCTGAGTGTCTGTTCACCATAAAAAGATTTAAGCCACATTTCTCTGGTTTTCAGCTTGGCTTCTACTGCTGCATCTGCTGAGCCCTCCTCCCCACGGCGCTCTCAGGAGATCCCAGTGACACCCCCAGCTCCTCTCCCAGCCCCATTTCCTGCACACAACCAACCTGGGGAGCGGAATGCTGCTCCGCAAGCAAACGAGGTGGCCAACCAGGACTTAAGGATGAACGCCCAGGGGGGTCCTCTCATGGGGGAAGAGGAGGAGGGTGGCCATCGAGACTGGTTGGACTGGCTGTACTCTGCAACGCTGTTCTATGTTTTTGTCAACATCATCTATTTCTACTCCAGCATCAGCAGATTCCTCCTGGTGATGGGTGGCACTGTTCTGATGTATCTGTAAGTGCATAGTTGGGATATTGAGTGCTGTCAGATGTTGCAGTGAAGTGCTGCACCCTGGGGGGAGGCGAGCCTTCTGATGTTAGAGCTTTATGGGGATTGTGTACCTGGGGAAAGTGAACCTCTCATCTCACCCTGGCATACCTCAGTGTTCAGCAAAAATACTGTTACAGCCTCTGGGTTCAGAGAAGAATGGGTAGGTGATGGGGAATGGTCTTGCCCTCTCTTCTGGTGTAGTTGACTTTCCTTTTTGGAAGGCAATTGGAAGACCAAGTAACTCTTAGTGTAAAGCCCCAGCAGTTCTCTGAAAGTTCAGTGAAACAACAGACAAGGGCTTGAAATCTTGGGAGAGAACCTTGCGCCTTCTCTGTAAGTCATGTAGGCACATGGGTTTTTGTCACCTTCTCAGGAGAGAAGACAAAGCTTAGAAAGTGATGTCCTGAGTTGCTTTTAAGCTGCTCTAGAGGGGAAGAATTGGGGATAAATCTCTTAGGAGTACAGTACAGATAGCCTGCCCTTGGGTGACATTTTTGGGGTGTCTGACAGAATGTCCCCTCATGTTTGATCACATGTGAGATAATGGGTGCAGGCCTGTGAGTTCCTGTCAGTAGCCTCAGAGCTGAAACTGCAGCAGCTTAAAAATGCACTTTGATATATTCAGACTTGTAGAAAGAAGGCTGATGGCTTTGTCAGGTCCTTAGACACACTGTTGGTAATACCCAAATAGAATGTTGTTGAATTACCCTGGTGTGTCAGGGAGGAGTCGTGTAAGCAGCATTAACACAAATACTTGCCTTCCCTCAGGCACCATGTTGGCTGGTTCCCCTTTAGACAACGACGAGCTCAGCCTTTCCCAGATAACATTCCTCCTCAAGCTGCTGTAAACCAGGACCAGAACAATAACTTACAGGTATTGCATTTTCCAAAACATGGGCATGCAATGAAGTTTTTACTGTTTGTACAAGTAGTTTACTAATTATCCAAGCAGGGAAAATTCTGAATTTTTGTAGAGAAGCATCTTCTGTGTGGAATAATTGCCAGCCTGCTTCCTCTTGTGGAGTATGAAGTGCTGCATGTAATCTCCTACTTGTTAGCTATTGGAGAGTGGTCTGTTGCAGTCTAAGTTCTGTAACTGAACTCAGGTCTGAGTATGTGAGCAAGTTGAGTCCTGCATTTCCAGTGACGCTTGGGGTTGTTGTCAGTGTTTGCTGAGTTCCTTGGCTGTGAAGGAAACAGCTGACCAAATAAACCATGCGTGCGTCTGTCCTGAGCAGTATATTCTTTCTTTGGTTGTTGGGGTTACTTCAGTAGAGAAGCACTGTGTAGGTTTTATATTGACAGTGAAAATCAGCTTAGCACCTGATTCTCATAATGCATTTCTGCAGTGATTCTCACTGAATGTTCTTCCTTTCAGCAGGGAGGGAATGCAGGCAGAGCAGAGGAACCTGAGGCCCTTCCTGATGCAGGACAAGTTCTGCCAGAGCTGCCACAGAACAACCCATCCCTTATGAGCACAGTGTGGCTGTTTTTCAAGACCTTCTTTGCATCCCTCCTTCCAGAAGGGCCCAGGCTGACCCGCAACTGACGTGGCACCATT